AAAAAAAATTTCTCTCAGAAGCAATATTATAGGTAAAACTGGACAATTTTTAAATTTACAACAAAGCATTTGTCTCTTAGGTTTCAGCTGTCAGTGCAGTGGTTAACTGGGGTACAGGCCCCAAGGCTTTTGTATTTCGCAACTACAACCACAAACCAGGATGCCTCAGCCGCTATGCAGGGGAATCAAGCCATGCCATGTGGCAGGCAGTGCGTGCATCTTCAGCTGCACCTGGATACTTTGAGGAGTTCCCTTTACAAAGTGACATCCATCAGGTTGAACAATTTAATTTCTTCATGTAGTATTTAGGAATCTATCCTGCCCCTAAGACCACTCATAAATTACTTTGTTTTGCTTTAATTCCTTAGCAAGCAGTGACATACATGCTGACCTTTAATATCTTTTCACTGATTATGGTGAAATTTGAGCATGAATGCTTGATTGACTTTTTGGGTTCCTATGAACTGTAAAGCATATGTGTGGATTTAAATCTGCTTCACTAAGCGAAACCATTGCATCCTCTGTCACTGTAGGATGGAGGAATCATCCTGAACAATCCCTGTGCCTTGTCTATTCACGAGAGCCGTTTGTTGTGGCCCAACCAACCCTTTAAGTGTGTGCTGTCCCTTGGCACGGGGCGCTTTGACAGGGTCAAGAGGGGCCCTACTACCTCCACAAGTCTGCTAACCAAAATCAACAATCTGATCACCAGCGCCACGGACACAGAAGGGGTCCACACTCTCCTGGATGAATTGCTTCCCCCAGATGTCTACTTCCGCTTCAACCCCATGCTAAATGCGGAGGTTTCCTTAGATGAGAATCGCCCAGAGACGCTGGATCAGCTAGTCAAAGATACGCAGGACTACCTGGATAGAAATCAGCCTAAAGTGGCTAAGCTCTGTTCAGTTCTGGGCAAAGAGCGTTCCACTGTGGGCCAAGCCAAAGACTGGATGAGTGAGAGGTCTTGGGAGATAAAGCAGGGGCTGATGTGATTTGGGGTGCTTCAGCTTGTCTGCATTTTATTTTGTGTTTAGTGATGTGAAGCAAATCCACACATCCTGTACATTTTATATTTTTTGCACGTTTGTATAGCTATAGGAACACAATTATCTTAGCAAAGTGATTCACATCATTTGCTTCTTAAATCCTTCTTGGTTTAGAAAAATTATCAAAGAAAAACAATGACCACCTACTATTATCTTTGTTGTCCTTTTTTTTGCTTTTAAACAGAAGTGCCAAACAATTTAATAGGATGAAGTGGGACAAAAAAGCAATAATTTACACATCATCATATTTCTTTAGTTATTAGGGTTTGTTCCATAAAGGAACATTTAAATTTGTCCAATATATGTAAAATGTATTTTAAATTTGTTTGAAGGGCTTACATAGTATTTATTTTGAATAAATATATGTATCGATGAGGAATGTCTAAGTAGTATTTAATTTTTTCACTAGAGGTATTGTGTTAAAACCCCCCAATTTGTTTTCAGGCCATCATTGTTCTTTATTATATAGTGCCTTTCCATCCATCCATCCATCCATCCATCCATCCATCCATCCATCCATCCATCCATCCATCCATCCATCCATCCATCCATCCATCCATCCATCC